TAAGTTAAGTGTTGCCGAGATGAGAATGATTAGGTGGATGAGTGACTATACACTTAGAGACAAAATGCGAAATGAGTATATCCGTGATAGGGATGGTGTAGCTGCTGTGACGGACAAAATTAGAGAAAGTCGTCTTAGATGGTTTGGTCACATTAAACGTCGACCATTTGATGCTCCGATTAAGAGAGTAGATGTTTTAGATTCGACTTATGTTAAGAGAGGCAGAGGTAAAACTAGGAAGACTTGAGCATATTGTATAAAAAATGATCTTAATTTATTAGAACTAAATGAAAATAGTACGCAATGGAGAAAAAGGATTCATTTAGTCGACCCCACGTAGTGGGATTAAGGCTGTGTTATTGTTGTTGTTGTTTATTTTTAGTGGCATTCACATACATAACACACAATTCTTATGTATTGGCATTTCTAACATCTAAACCTTCATATTTTAATGCATGACACTCAAATCTTTAATATCACATCTAAAATAGCACTTACACCTTTTTATGCATAAGTTTATGACACCAAATGTTCATAAATGTAAGTATTAAAGTTTACCTGCCCAATCTGTCAATACATTAGAATTGTGTGGTATGCATGTAGATTTTCCTTTCAACTTAGAGATGCCTTTTAAGCTTTATATTGTTAAAACCACTGGAGTGGTTTGGTTTCAGGTGAAATCAGAAAAAATGGAACAAATTTCTGGATCATTGGCTTCTGTGCTTGTGAAGTATCCTGAAATGCAGCAGTTAGCTAAAAGGGCTTTCATCACTTATGTGAGATCCATAAATCATCAGAAGGATAAGGAGGTTTTTGATGTATCTAAATTACCTCTGGAAGAGTATTCTGCATCTCTGGGCCTGCCCATGAAACCAAGTATTAGCTCCAAAACCCAAAAAATGAAAAATAAAAAAGAAACAGAGCTTAAAAAGAAACAAAAATCAGAGGCAGAAGATGAAATACAGTATAGTGATGAATTCAAAAGCGATGTTGAAGACGGTGGAATGAAGGCGGTAGCTGTGAAGATGATCCGAGGGAATGAAGAGAATTACAACGTTCATGAAGAAGAAGACAATTTTCTGGTGCCAAAGAAGTCTTCTGTGGAGCTCGATAAAAGTGAACTTACTCAGTATGTTTCACTCCTCTATTCCAAGAGTTAAAACTTGCTATTTTTGCAAAATATACAGAAGTAAAATACCGTACTTCTAAAATGAATTTATATGAAAACATGTAAAGTGCCAAATAGTCCCCTGATTGTTTAATGGCGCCATTTAGTCCCTGAGTCAATAAAACAGTTAAATTAGTTCTCGAACTTTTTAAATTGGCGCTGAAATAGACTTCTCCTATTAAAAGACTCTCATACTAAAATGACCTTCTGGAAAGAGTTAGAGCACTATTCTGCACTTTTCTCATATGGCAACTGATTGATAAGGTGGGCCCATGAAAACTAAAACAAATTAGGATATCTCTCAGTTAATGGATTTTCTTTGAGACCAAGTATTATCCATGAGGAATCAATTAAATTTGTATTGCAATCATATAAAAAGTAAATCTAATGGCTTTGATACTCATGCTAACTAAAATTCTAATCAGGATATTCTTTATCCTTTTTTTTTGTGGGGGCTTTTACCTGCTTGCCACCCAAATCTTATGCATTTACATATCTGACACCTAAGATTTCATTTTTTATATTTATACCACTCAAATTTTTGATATCACATAGAAAATACCACTATTTTAACTTTTAAAAATCAAAATACACTTTTTAATGCAGGTAAGTGACATATATTTTAGATATGTAATTACATAAGATTTGAGTGGTATGCATGTAAATCTTCCCTTTTTTCATAAAAGCCCTATCCAAGCAAAGTGCTTGTAGATCTTCCCTTTTTTGGGGAATTCATCAATAATTTGTATTGAAATGTCATGAACTTTTAATGTAATGTATAATATTAATTTTTTTTTGGGTGCATTATTTGCAGCTTTCCAACCCGAATATTGAAAAAGAAGAAACTGAAGATAAATGTCCATAGACCTGTAGGAACAAGGCTGAAGTACGATGATGATGGCAATGAAGTAGCTCCTCTTGCCGCCTTCGCCATCATGGACAGTGCCGACGCTGTGCTTGAACCAGAAAAAGGTCTAATCACATCTTTTCCATATGTTTGCATCTTAAATATTTGGAAGATTTACATAGATACCACTCTTTTCTTATGTATTTATGTATCTTTCACCTTAACTTCGATTTGCACATATATATGCCACCTCATCTAGACATGAAAAAGGTGAATTTCACTTTTTAAACTTTAAATAAAGATAATTTTTATGTGCTATGAATGGTATGGGTGGCAGTGTTGGAGACACGCCCGCGCGCGCGCGCGCACACACACACACACACACACACCACGTACTCAGATCAGTTGGTCGGGCATCTGCTTGTTAGTTGTAAGGCCCCGCTGGTCTATGGTTCGATTCCTCTTGTGCATAGAGTATGATATTCGAATTTTTTGGCGCACAAGAGATGACCGGGATCAGTTGGTCGGGCATCTGCTTGTCAGTTGTAAGGCCCCTCTGGTCTGTTTATATGAAAACATGTAAAGTGCCAAATAGTCCCCGGATTGTTTAATGGCGCCATTTTAGTCCCAGAGTCAATAAAACAGTTAAATTAGTTCCCGGACTTTTTAAATTGGCGCTGAAATAGTTTTCTCCTATTGAAAGACTCTCATACTAAAATGACCTGGAAAGAGTTAGAGCACTATTCTGCACTTTTCTCATATGGCAACTGATTGATAAGGTGGGCCCATGAAAACTAAAACAAATTAGGATATCTCTCAGTTAATGGATTTTCTTTGAGACCAAGTATTATCCATGAGGAATCAATTAAATTTGTATTGCAATCATATAAAAAGTAAATCTAATGGCTTTGATACTCATGCTAACTAAAATTCTAATCAGCATATTCTTTATTCTTTTTTTTTTTTGGGGCTTTTACCTGGATGCCACCCAAATCTTATGCATTTACATATCTGACACCTAAGATTTCATTTTTTATATTTATACCACTCAAATTTTTGATATCACATAGAAAATACCACTATTTTAACTTTTAAAAATCAAAATACACTTTTTAATGCAGGTAAGTGACATATATTTTAGATATGTAATTACATAAGATTTGAGTGGTATGCATGTAAATCTTCCCTTTTTTCATAAAAGCCCTATCCAAGCAAAGTGCTTGTAGATCTTCCCTTTTTTGGGGAATTCATCAATAATCTGTATTGAAATGTCATGAACTTTTAATGTAATGTATAATATTAATTTTTTTTTGGGTGCATTATTTGCAGCTTTCCAACCCGAATATTGAAAAAGAAGAAACTGAAGATAAATGTCCATAGACCTGTAGGAACAAGGCTGAAGTACGATGATGATGGCAATGAAGTAGCTCCTCTGGCCGCCTTCGCCATCATGGACAGTGCCGACGCTGTGCTCGAACCAGAAAAAGGTCTAATCACATCTTTTCCATATGTTTGCATCTTAAATATTTGGAAGATTTACATAGATACCACTCTTTTCTTATGTATTTATGTATCTTTCACCTTAACTTCGATTTGCACATATATATGCCACCTCATCTAGACATGAAAAAGGTGAATTTCACTTTTTAAACTTTAAATAAAGATAATTTTTATGTGCTATGAATGGTATGGGTGGCAGTGTTGGAGACACGCCCGCGCGCGCGCGCGCACACACACACACACACACACACACCACGTACTCAGATCAGTTGGTCGGGCATCTGCTTGTTAGTTGTAAGGCCCCGCTGGTCTATGATTCGATTCCCCCCGAGTGTAGGGTGTGGTACTCGAATTTTTAGGCGCATGAGGGATGACCGAGGCTCGTATAATATCCTTTGGTCATCCTTTGAAAAAATATATATCTATAACGTACACACACACACACACATAAGAAATGTGCCGTATGTATGTCAATGTCCCTAAATATTTTTTTAGGCTCCATATTTCATTCAAACTACATTAGCCTGACTCCATTTCAATCTGCCGAATTCATTCAGTGAAGCAAAGATACGAGAAATTGAGAGAGGACATGAAGCAGAGGGACAAGGAAGACAAAGTTCTTCAACGCCAAAGGCTTAGAGATAAAAGAACCAAGGATAAGATGAAGCTGAAGAGATGGAGGGAAGAAGAAGAGGAATTTGATGAGGATGATAGTGGCAATAATGCGGAATCAGATGTGGGAAGAAACACTATGATGAGGAACTCAAAGATAAGTTTTGAGAGCGAGAGCGACGACGAGAGGAAGGTGAAGAAGACGAAGGGTTTTGATACAGATGCGATATCTTTAGCCGAGCAGGAAGCATTGGCTTTGAAGCTCTTGAGTTCTATGCATTATTCTTAGGGTTAGTTTTGGTCTGTGTTATGTTGTTTTATAACTTGAGATCCATGAAATAGTTTTGTTGCAGAAAATTTTGATAATTTATGTAATTCACCAAGTGAAAACTGGTGGTGATTTTTATTTTATTTTCTTAAAGCAGATTCATATGATGAGAAATTAGTTGGGTTGGGTGGATGGATTTCTTTTGTAACTTCATTTTGATGGGAGATTATGATCCATATATCTAGATTTAATGTACAAATAAATGAGTACTTATCTTACTTTTTAAAATGGGGCATTTGCATATATACCAACTAATTCTTGTGTATTTACATCTCTAACTTTTAAACTTTACTTTTTATATTTAAACCTCCTGAATATTGAATATTTAATATCGCATAAAAAATACATTATTTAAACTTTTTTAAAATTGAAATATATCTTCTCGAAATATTTAGGTAAAGTGGAAAGCAAGTAAGAATTTTAGGTGTTAGGTATATTAATACATAAAAATCGAGTATTATGTATCTAAATATTTCTTTTTGATTTCTAGTGTATTATAACTCTCAACAAAGAACTAGTTTGTTACAATTCATATAGTTTGAGCATATGGAAAACTAGTAAAATTATTATTGTTTTCACACTAAGATGATGAACTCCTAAGTAAACAATCACTAAGGTAACACTTGGGTCATTTGGTGTTGATTACACATAAGTTGAGAAAGATTCAAGTCTTCATAGTAATTTGGTCACTTGGACATCGCAATTGAGCACACTAGAATGAAAAATTAAGTATACATATATATACATATAAATATTGCAAAGGGTTTAATTTAGAGTGGCTCCTTGCATGGTTCCAAAGAATTCCAAAGCTTCTCATATCTTGATTTAATTTTATTGTATAATTTCATCTCATCAATCATTGGAATATTCTCACACACCATGATCATGCAATTCTTTTTTAAGGTGTAATGTATGTTATGCCAAATTTGAAGCATATTAAGTCAAATTTTAATAATTCTCCCCTTTGATATATTGATAGTGTTTAGGTTCGTGTAAGCTTGATTAATGTTGGAGATATATGTTTGAGGTGATGAAACAATGGAGAAATGATTCTAGTGCTCTAAGAAGAAGGCTAGGAGTGAAATTGGTAAGGCTTCACCAAGGAATGCAATGGTCTCCATTTAGCTGAGAATGTGAGCCTAATTATAGGCTTGAATAAGGAGTAGGGCTAGCAAGCTGGTTGGCTCAGT